GGGGTGGCCCCAGGGTGTTGTCTCTTCCTGACTTGAGGTGTGAGGGTGCCCTCCCATCCGAACCTCAGGGCTCTCACCTCTGCCCCAGGGTTATCTCTGAGAAGAAGATGAGGAGGAAGCGGAAGCCTGAATTTGATATTGCCCGGAACGTCCTGGAGCTGATTTACGGGCAGACTCTGACCTGGTGAGGACCCCCACTTGCCTCTTGCTGCCTGGCCCTGGAAGAGGGGCTGAGCCCTTTGGCGGAGCTCTTTTGCCCCAGGGACCCTACAGTGGTGTTGGCCTTGAACCCTTGCCTCCTGGGGCCCTGAGACATGGCCACTCCTGCTTGTCCTCCCCCATGTGGTCTCAGGGAGGGAAGGGCACAGACACAACCTGTTCCAGCCCTGAGCTAGGCCCAGGGACTGCTCCAGCCATGGGACCCATGTGCCCCAGTCTCTGGACCACAGCCACCTCCCTCCCTCCCCAGGCTGGGTGTCCTCTTCTCGCCCCTCCTCCCGGCTGTGCAGATGGTCAAGCTATTGCTTCTTTTCTACGTAAAGAAGGTGACGCTACTGTGGGCTTGGGTGACCCTGGAGGGGTGGCTGCTGGGCACAGCTCAGCTGGGCAGACCTGGGTCGTTGGAGGCAGCCCAGGGCCACCCTTGGGTCTGTCCTTCACCTGAGGGAACTGGCTGAGCCCTCCCCTGTCTTTGGCAGGCCATGAAGCACCACAAGGTCATCAGCATGGGCCTGCATGCACTGGGCTGGGGGTTAGGGCCAGGGTGCTGGGAGATACGGACCCTCAGGCCCTCCTGGACCCTGGGAAGTGAAACTGGCCCTCTGTCCTCTGCTAGCGTCTGCTTAGGAGCTAAGAACTGGTGACTTAGGCTCCCGTCCTGGCTCTGGGCAGCTCTTCTCCCTTCTAGTCCTGCCTGTCCTCACTGTACTGTGGGGATGAGAGCACGTTTAGCAAGGGCCAGATGCAGAGCCTGGCATGGTAGTGACCTCCATCAGTGTAGGTGGCTGTCAGGGTCAACCCTTTCCCATGCAGTGGCCTCAGATAAGTCATTCCCCACGTGCGCCTCATTCTGCCCTCTGACCCTTTAGGGGGCTGGGGGCTGAGGAGGTCCCAGCTCAGCCCCCTGCCTAGAAGCACAGCCCTGGGCCCCGCCTCTCCTCTCCTTTGCTCTTGGAGGCCTCCACTAGACCTGGGGAGGGGTCGGGTGCCGAGGAGGTGGCAGAGCGTAGCCTTTGTCCTGCAGACTAGCCTGCTGGCCAACTGCCAGGCACCACGCAGGCCCTGGCTGGCCTCCCACATGAGCACCGTCTTCCTCTCTCTGCTCTGCTTCCCTTCCTTCCTGGGTGCCGCCGTCTTCCTCTGCTATGCAGTTTGGCAGTGAGTCCTGGGCCTCGTCATCCTAGGCTGGGTGGTGGCACCTGGAGTGTGGGGCTGGGATTTGGGGTGACAGGGAGAGGTGGGAGGAGCTGGGGGCCACCATCCAGGCTGAGGGGTCCCGCTCACCCTTGTCCCCAGGGTGAAGCCCTCGAGCCTGTGCGGCCCCTTCCGGAGCCTGGACAGCATGTACGAGGCAGGCCTGATGTGGGTGCACCGCCTGGAGGAGGCAGGCCCCGGGCTGTCCTGGCTGCCCTGGGTGCACAGGCACCTGCTGGAGAACACCTTCTTCATCTTCCTGCTGTCCGCCCTGCTGCTGTGAGTTCAGGGACAGCTGGGCCGGGCCTGCCCAGTGGGGTTCCTGCTGCTCTGGCTTCTGCCCAGTACCTCGCCTGACGTCTATGTCCCACAGGGCCGTGATCTACTTCAACATCCAGGTGGTGAGGGGCCAGCAGAAGGTCATCGGCCTGCTCAAGGAGCAGATCAGCCACGTGAGTGCCTCTTACCCTGCCCCACCCTGGGACACACCTGGGGGACACCTCATCCACTCTCCTGCTGGCTCATCCCCAGCCCTCCACATCCTTTCTGTGGGCTTTGGCTGTTGAAAGGGTTTGTTTGCGAGTGATGCGGACATGTATATGTGCTTGGGATCAAGTGAAGGGCAGGCATAAAGCAGCCCAGGCTCGGCTCCTGATCCACAGGGCCATGGGGATGGGATTCCAGCCCCAAGGAGTGGTCCTGCAGGGCTGGACACAGTGTCTGTGAGGATTTCTGAGGTGCTAGAAATGACTTTGGGTTTCCTGGGGACTCATGCTGGCACACGGACCCTGTTCACTGCTTTCATTTTATAAGCAGGTGGGAGGAGGTTCAAAGTCAAGGTCAGGTTAAAACATTTTTAATTTTTGTTTTTCTTGTTTTACTTTTTAGGGTTTTTGGGAGATAGGATCTTGCTATGTTGTCTAGGCTGGGCTCAAACTCAAGATCCTCCTATCTCAGCCTTCCAAGTAGCTGGGCCTACACATGTCACTTCCTACACCTGGCAAAATGTTTTTATTAAGAAAATAAGGCAGGCAGTGCCTGTAGCTTAGTGGGTAGGGTGCCAGCCACATACACTGAGGTCGGCCCTTTTGAACCTGGCCTGGGCCAGCTAAACAACAACTGCAATAAAAAAATAGCTGGATATTGTTGAGGGGGGCCTGCAGTCCCAGCTACTAGGGAGGCTGAAGCAAGAGAATTGCTTATGCCCAAGAGTTGGAGGTTGCTGTGAGCTGTGATG